TCCAGTAAAAAGGGTCTCCGGTTCTCTACACTCACCACACGAAACACATTCTCCTGTGTTTCGTTAAGCTAATATTTTAAGCTGATATTATGTGAGAGCGTGGTCCTTCCCCGGTCAAGCCGACCCATTCGCGCTACAACTATACCAGTAATATAACTACAGCATGGCTCTCCCACGTATGAAATCATAAATCATTTTAATGTTATAATAAAAGTCTATTTATTATTTGCTATAGTAGAAATTGCTTTCTTAAACACACTATAATCACATTGACAATAAACCTTATTAGATTGGACTGTTAATCTCCCATTGGGTGTACGCCGACATTATTTTAATATGTTCTCATAGCTCAGAGCTCTTCAAATTAAATGCTATTATAAAAATAAATAACACTGAAAATTAAGTTAAGTTTACTGGCAGTCATGTCGCAGTATAAAAGCTGGGAGAAATAAAGACTGGACGTCAGACTCGTCTTGAAGCTTCAGTGTTGACATCAAGGGCTAAAAGGAAATTCTAAGGTAAAAAGATTTTGAATTATCATCATCATCATCATACCGATACCGTTACAGCCTATCAAATTCTACTGCTGCACATAGGCCTCCCCCATATGAGGGATATTCGCCATAGTTGGCTTGGCAAGCGGGTTAGGAACTAGGTTAAGCTTGCGACATCCATGGGATGATATGGGGTATTGGATATTCTTACACCGCCAAAACATGGTACATCATCATAAACAGCTCATTAGAGTCCGCTGCTGAACATGGAGTTCTCCGGTAGCAGGGAGGATTTGCCTTACTCGTAAGCTTGACAAGCGGATTGAAAACCGCAGTACCAACATATCCATCGCCGCGCTGAGCCGGTCTGTATCACTAAAATTCAATAATGTTACCCACGCCATAGCTTTATAAACCGGAGTTCTAGTGCCTCGCACCAAACCAACAAATAATCTTCAGTAAAGTTACGCTAATGAATTTGTTGCGCTACTTGTTTGATAAGCTATTTAATATAAAATTACTTATTAGTAAGTTTTCTCACGGATTGCCAAATCATGCTTCTTAGCCACCTGCATCCTGTTCTACTCTATGTATCGATTTGAATGTGTAATTTTAAAGTACGTCATAGAGAAGTTGCGTGTTTTTAATTTTGTTTTGTATGTGTTACTAAAAATTATGAAGAAAAAAATAACAATTGATTTTTCATGTAGTTTGAATTTCAACGAAAAATTATTTTCCAAAATGTAAATTCAAATTTAAAAAATAGTCATTGCATAATACACGCTCTATATTATGTTTTGTAATGACACATGATGATTTGAATATAAAAAATAGAAAAAATACGAAAGCATAGCGTGATTGCGATTGGCTCATAACCTCAACGGATATAATGACGTCGCAAACAATCGCAAGTGGTCCCCCCTCCGGGCTTCTCCAAGCCAATGCAGCCTCCAGTCTTTCTCTGGGGGCCCAAAAAGGCAGACCCACCGCGGACAACCTCGTACGCACACGAGGCAGAGCCCACACCCGACGACTACAACACGCTATATTCCGCGATTAGGAATATCGATGTTAGGGAGATCACCGTTATAGCACGCAAACTGCGCGCGGCGAAGTCCCCTCAAGAGCGTCTCCTCGCTCTTGCTGAACACAACGATCTTCTGCTAGCGTTGTAAGTTAAGTTAACTTAATTAACTTAACTCCAATGTCTGAGCAAATTAACCTACCAAGATCCCACGGTCGTATCAAACCTAAGGGTTTATCGCTTGTATCATTTAATATTCGCGGTTTGCGAAATAACCTCCCAGAGCTTAAGCTCTTTCTTCGAAATCGTGAAGTCGATTTCCTCCTCCTACAGGAAACTAATCTCAAAGCTAAGGACACTAGAGGCCTTTCTATTAAAAACTTCTCTCTTCTTCGTAATGACAGACCCGACCGCCGAGGTGGCGGAACGGCCATCTATTACAAGAAGACACTTCATTGCTCCCCCATTTCTACTCCGCAGCTTACCAACATGGAAACCACGGTATGCAGGCTAGCCATGACTAGACATCAGTCCATCCTCATAGCCTCCTGTTACATCCCTTCAGGAACCTATCCCCTCAAAAAGATTTTGAGGCCATTTTATCCTTGGGCATTTAAGTCATTATGTTTGGAGATTTTAACTCCAAGCATACTGAATGGACAAGCCGCACTACGTCCCCTAGTGGCAAGATACTGCTCGATATCACGCAGTCTCTTGATATTACCGTCCATAGTCCTCTCGGTGTTACTCACTTTCCCGATAACACCGATCACGCACCCGATGTATTAGATTTTGCGTTACTCCAAGGAGTTTCTCTCAACCTCAGAGCAATCGAGACACTAGACGATCTGGGTTCAGATCACCGACCGGTCTCCCTCATTCTTGACCATCAGCCACCTCCCCCAACACACACGAAAACCTTCACTAACTGGAAGGAATTCAAGGACTCCCCTAGCTAAAGCTCTGGACTCACAGGATTCTACCATCCCCATACCGTCGGACTTAGACAGTCCCGAAAAAATCGACACCGTGGTCGATTCACTCTCCACCCTTATTAAATCCTCCCTTAAGGAGAACGAAAGGGTCGTCCCGGTTGCTAACAATAGTGGGCTTCCCCTATATATTAGCAACCTATTAAAAGCCAAAAAAGCTGCTTTCCGGAGAGCAGCAAAATATCCCAACCCCGAACACAGGCGCGCGGCCAATCGTCTTCAACGAAAACTCCGCTTCCGCCTCTCTGAATTTCAAGATCTCGAAAAGAGTAAGCTCATGGAGAATATCTCTCCATCTCACACAGCGTACTATCAGATGGCTAGAGCCCTCCGCATAGACGCTATCACCCACACTCCCCCTCTCTCCCGTCCCGACGGCACGGTTGCCTTCGAGGACGAGGAAAAGGCTGAGTGCTTTGCAGATAGCATTGCCGCTCAATGCTCTCCTAGTTCTCAACCCGTCGACCCCTCACACGTCCAGGCAGTGGAGGATGAGGTCCGCCGCCGGAACTCACCCCCCACGGCCTCCGAACCTATCTCTGTGTCCAATGATGAGATTTCATCCCTCATCAAAGGACTTAAGCCTGAAAAGGCTCCGGGCGCGGATGGCATCTTCAACCAAGCCCTAAAACACTTTCCCGAGCAGGTGTTAACCTTTTTATCTATTATCTTCAACGCCTGCTTCAACCTTAGTTATTTTCTCACTACGTGGAAAGAGGCTACTGGGATTGGAATTCCCAAGCCAGGCAAGCCTCTCAACCTACCCTCCAGCCATCGCCCCATTAGCCTCCTCAAGGCAATGGGCAAGCTCTTCGAAAGAGTCATCCAAATTCGTATGAGGCGCTATCTGTTTCCCACAGACGGTGACCCTCTTATCATTCCCCATCAATTCGGTTTCCGAGCCAAACACTCATGTCCCCAACAAGTCCACCGCATTGTGGAATATATCCTCAGCGGTTTCTATCCTCGTCGTCATAAGACCATCGCGGTCTTTTTCGATATAGCTAAAGCTTTCGATAGTGTCTGGCACACAGGCCTCATCTACAAGCTCTATAAAATAGGTCTCCCCGATCGTCTAGTTCGTCTCGTGGCCTCATACTTAAAACATCGTACCTTTCGTTTTAGACACGAAGGCACGCTATCCTCACAGCGAACTATCAAGGCTGGTGTCCCTCAGGGCTCAGTACTTGCTCCTCTGCTGTACATCCTGTTCACCAACGACATTCTCATCCCGTCGAAAGGTGTTCAACTCTCCCTCTTTGCAGATGACACTGCCATCTACTGCAAAGGTGTCTCACTACCCTTTATACGGAACAAGATCCAAAAGTCAGTTGATGACCTAGGAGCTTGGTTCAAAAAATGGCGCATCGATGTGAACCCGGAGAAGAGCTCCGCCGTTCACTTCGATTATAAACGACGCCGTCTCAAAAACACTCCACCAATACGTATGCTAGGGACCCCTGTCCCCTGGCATAGGTCCGCCAAATATTTAGGTGTCACTCTGACACAGGGCTCACTTTCAAGCCCCACGTCAAAAGAGTAACCCGTCACGCACGATTTTATCTGAGTAGGCTCAACAGCATGTTGGGCCGACATAGTAAAATGTCCCTTCGAAACAAGCGTACCCTTTACAAGGCCTGTATACGACCAGTCATGTCCTACGCGGGCCCCGTCTTTGCCCACGCTAACCCTAATATTTTAAATGAACTCCAAATAGTTCAGAACCTCTTCTGTCGTCGAGCTGCGAACGCACCTTGGTACGTCCGTAATGCCGACCTTCATCGGGACTTAGAGCTCCCAACAATTCAACAATTTTTTAAAAAACTCTCTGAGAACTTCTTCAAAGCCTCAGAGTCGCACCCAAACCATTTAATTCGTGAGGCAGCTTCTTATGCAGCCCCACCCCCCTCTCGCTATCGTGTCCGCAGGCCGAGAAACTCTCTCTCGGACCCGCCTAATAAACTTTCAAACGACCTGAACTGTCTCCTGGCGGCTCAGGCCAACTCTAATTAAATAAAATTATTGTAATAACTAACATTAAATTGCCTTCGTAGGCACTCCCTCAGCGGCACTTAGCCGCCTGCGCCCTCTTTTCCCAAAAGAGGGTCGCTCATGATAAGGCACAATAGAGCTTAATCAGCCGGTTGCCTGTCCCCAAAGGCGGTTTTTAGAGGGTATCACTTAGGGTCCCCGGCAGGACAGTGAGCCCCTCATAACCACGATAGACCGGCTATCGTGGTATGCGTAATGCATTTTCCGCCTCCCTACGTATAGGGTAGCCCTTTAATTGCTTCGGGCGCAAAAAAAAAATCGCAAGTGGTTTTTTTTACTCAAAAATACAATTATATTTTATTAATAATTAAATAAAAAATATTAAGACATACTTTAAATTAATATGTAATTCCTTCATTATTATATAAATTTGTTGCAAAAAAATGAATGCAACTTCTCTATTCAATATCAAGCATTTTTTACATTTCAGGATTCAAAATGCGTGCCGTCGTTGCCGTCTGCCTTATCCTGGTAATCTATTGCCTGATCTTACCAAATGAAGCCAACTATCGGAAACCACCTTTCAATGGATCCATTTTTGGAAAGCGGGGAAATATAGGTAATAATTTAATCCATCAATTATGATTTTTTATGATGATAGGTGATACGAAGTTTAATTAATATTATTCAGAATTAACATTATTTCGTGAAAAAATTCATTTCTCATAGATGGATAGCCCATCTCCTCTGTCAGTATTTCTCTGACTCCTATTACGACACCCACAGCATAAATCGAAAAAATTACGGCAATACACAAAATATTTTTAGGTAAAATTGGGACACTCCCATCCGTAAATTTCTAAATAAGATCGATTTTTTTATTTTGAACTTAAATTTTTTTTCAAGTTCTTCTATCTTCTCTTCTATAATGTACCCGTTCTAAAAGTTATGCTTTATTAATCTAGTAAATAAAAAATAATTTTTGTTTGTTCATATTTTACACGCTGCTGTACTGTTCATCAGATTGTACTAAAAGTTTGTCAACTTATTGCTTGCACTTAAACGACGAGGTGGCGCGCATATAGTATCGTCAAATTTATTCGAAAGTATATCATTCAATTTCAATGAACGTATTATCTAACAATATAACTCTTCCAAATTCAAAACGATATTGCTACTATTATTTCTTCTGCGGTAGCAATACGCCGGGCATCACCTAGTTGTTTTAAAAAAATATCATAAATTAACTTCACAGTCACTACGAAACAGTAGCATTAAGCTGCTATTTTACACTAATATTATGTGAGCGAGGTCCTACCCCTGTCGAGCCGACCCATTCGTGCTACAACCATAATAGCTATATCTTAGATCTAGTACGTACAATGTTAAATTGCTGTTTTATTTGCTTATTTCCCTCTGCTCGTGCTCGGCGCTTAAATAGTGAGGAAACCTGAAATAAAAAGGATGTCTGAGAAATAAATTATTTAGATATATTGGAGTCCTCAAGCACATATTAGAACAGTCACCTTAATTTTGAAATGCATATTACTCAAATTAATATTTTTAACATTTCATGTAGCTAATGTAGCTGGATCATAGCTCTACTACGTACAATGTTAAATTGCTGTTTTATTTGCTTATTTACCTCGTGCTCGGCGCTTAAATAGTGAGGAAACCTGAAATAAAAATGATGTCTGAGAAATAAATTATTTAGATATATTGGAGTCCTCAAGCACATATTAGAACAGTCACCTTAATTTTGAAATGCATATTACTCAAATTAATATTTTTAACATTTCATGTAGCTAATGTAGCTGCATCATAGCTCTACTACGCACAATGTTAAATTGCTGTTTTATTTGCTTATTTACCTCGTGCACGGCTCTTAAATAGTGAGGAAACCTGGAATAAAAAGGATGTCTGAGAAATAAATTATTTAGAGATATTGGAGTCCTCAAGCATATATTAGAACAGACTTGTCTTTGATTTTTAAATGCATATTATTCAAATTAATATTTTTAACATTTCAGAATACGACACATCTGAAAAAGCTATGTCAGCACTGTGTGAGATTGCGTCAGAGACCTGCGAAAGCTGGTTCCAGAACTTAGAGAATAAAAAATAAAATGATTACCCACAGTTAAGTTCTAAAATCTAGTAATGACAAAAATCTTATACATAGTTATATGTTTCAGAGTAAATTCAATTTTTAGACATTAAACGACATATAATCAATATCATATTTTATTTGTTCCTTGTCGGTATATATTTAAATAATTTATATATAAATTAAGATCGAAACTCGTAGCATATCCACCAGCATCTGCTGCAGCGCGCTACATTCACTAAAACTGTGATTATTGCTTAGATTGTAATGTGATCTACATTACAATCCAAGCATAAATCATACTATCCAAGAAAGAGATGTAGAAAAAGTATTGGTTCCATATATGTTTTAAATAATACCCCTAGAAAGTTATTCTTATGTTTAATTTACCTACCAGTGGTTTGAAAAATACGTCAGTCCTGGGACTGATCGAACAATGCTGCTATATATTGAGCGTTGTAGGTATAGGTTTCTTTCGAAGTATGTTTTACAACTATGAAATAAAACTTTGATGTCGTCTGGCCATTTAGGAATGGCCACATGTTCGAATCGAAATTAAAAAGTTACAGACCAATCAGCATTCTTTCCGTACTGGCTAAAGACCTTCAGAAACGAATATTTCATTTTAAAACATTGCATTGGAATACATATAAACTCAAATTGATTTTTCTTAACAAAGCCTAAAGCTTAATATAATAAGCAACTGCTCTGAATTACTATCCCATATCCTAGTTAGAATAAGAATCCCTAGAACATCGGCACGCCTGTACACAAATTATCCCCAATTATCTGTGCTAAATAGAAGCTAGAAAACAACAATGGTAAGTGTGGAGTAGTGGTGGCGGTACGCCCGGTGCCAAGCACCAAGCGGTGATAAAAATATTTAAGCAGACAATACTTAAGAAGAATTATCTCAAGCATCTTTTTTTGCAAATGGTGGAGCAGGGGGACGCCCGGGTGCCAAGCACCAAGCGGTGATAACGACAACTCATTTACACAGCCAGACAATACTTACAGAAGAATTACTCCTCAAAGACATACCAATAAATAAATAACTACCTACTATAGTACCTACCTGCACACAAATATTATATGTTAATATGTATTGCAAATTTATTTTACTTCCGAACATAATTTAATGTCCTAATTAAATGAGGTCAGGTAAGGTAGCGCTTGGTCGAATGAGTGAGTGAAATTATTCTTGTAGTCGTCTCTGCGAATGGGCTATTCGCGGTCAACCTCTGGGGTCTTCTGAGGCGACTGGGACTCCCTGACGGACCGTTCCGGGCTCAAATGAAGAAGGCGGTGCTGCTTGATACCGCCCGCATCGTCCGCCGGTTTCTTTCCCTTTCCCCCTAACCCTCGGACGTTTGGTCTCTCCTGCCGAGGGAAGAATACTTTATAAATACCTATAAATAGTAATAATTTCTTTATTCAGGAGTTTTTTAACAACATTTATTAATTTGCATCTGCGCCTGAACTAAGCAACAAGCTTTAATCTCAGGCAACGGTGCTGTTTCTTACGGGACAATTTTACAGAAATCTTTCTGATTAAGAAACTTACGTAAACATATATCAAACAGTATTTATTTTGAAGTATGAAAAATTAAATAAATATATTTGTTAGTTTTAAAGTGTGGCTGTGAAGTGTAAATTGTTGCGTGTTATGTCACTCCGATTTTCGAAAATTGAGTTTTCATTAAATCCTGACGTTTTGAGGTCACAGGAAGCCACCCTGACAATTTTTCAATAGTGTCTGTGTGCATTTATATGTGTGCGTGCGTGTTTGCGTACGCGCGCGCGCGCGCGCGTGTGTGTGTGTGTGTGTGTGTGTGGGGTGTGTGTGTGTGTGTGTGTGTGTGTGTGTTTGGTTGTGTATGTGTGTGTGTGTGTGTGTGTGTGTGTGTGTGTGTGTGTGTGTGTGGTATGTGTGTGTGTGTGCATGTGTGTGTGTGTGTGTGTGTGTCTTGTGTGTGTGTGTGTGTGTGTGTGTGTGTGTGTGTGTGCGCGTGTACGTATGTATGTGTGTGCGTGTTTGTGTTTGTCTGTGTGTGTGTGTGTGTGTTTGTGTGTGTGTGTGTTTGGTGTGTGTTTGTGTGTGTGTGTGTGTGTGTGTGTGTGTGTGTGTGTGTGTGTGTGTGTGTGTGTGTGTGTGTGTGTGTGTGTTTATGTGTATGCAAGGGCGAGGGTGAATAGTATTCATTAAAATAATAATTATAATAAGAAGACATAATTTAATGGTGTATTAATTATACATTATAAAAAGTTATTCAATTATTTAGGGATTTCAATAATTCTTCGGTTTCATCATAATCTAGTTCTTGAAGCCGTTTAAATAGGACTTTTTTACATTGATTCTTACTTAAAATGTATATGTTTAGTTACTTATTTATTTTATTGCACATGAATGGACCAATAAAACAAAACTATTTGTTTGTATAGAAATGTTTAAAGGTAAGTATGGCACACTTTGTCCGATCTTCTCTTTATTAATTGAGATGAGGTAAAACATGTGTTGTATTTTAAATAGTATGATAAATGAATAATTTTTGGACTGTTAATACTTGACAGTGTTTATGTAGTTCATACGTCTGATAGAGAATGGGTATAAAAGTACAAACCTTTAAAACAGCTCTCTGAGCTCTTCCTAGTGGAACTAAAGTTTTTAGTTTTTGGGGCTCCACCCCATATTGTTATACCGTAAATTATAATAATCGGGTTTAGCTACATGCCTTAGATTTATAAAGATATAATAAGTTTTCGAACTCGGGACGTTAATACTTCTAAATATTCTTTAAAATTCAATTGATAATCAATAAGAACACCTAAATACTTAACACAGTAGATTTTGCATAAATACGACCAGGAGCACGGCAATCCTAAAGGTTTCGTTAAATTTAGAGATCAGGGCGTATGAAAGCTTTTTTCCAGAGATTAGGACACTGAACTGAGTCTAGAACTAGTGTTTAATTCTTGAATACATTTTGTCTTAGAATCTTTTCCGTTTTTTAAAGTTAGTTTTATAATTTTATATCTTATTAAAATAAAGTTAAATTTCTTACACTCTGTTTTTTTAATTAATAATGGTGCTAGTGTTGTGCCGCTTTGCCGTAATTAAATAATAATATTAAGTAATTTGTAATTCAATTTAAAAATTATGCATGACATATATATATTTGTATTTTTAATTTTCTCTTTGAGTTCCCCAACGTTCTCTAAGGCCTTTTACGGTTCGGTCACCAAAAGATAAATGTATGCTCACTTCCAATTTCGTGAGGGCGAAAGGATATAAGTTTCTTGAGGACAGAGATTATACATAATGAACTTACTAAAATGTCTTGTGAACCTATATAACCTCCCATTTCACTCAGTGAAATTTTGATAGATTCGATACTATGTGACATTTTCTAGGAAGCCCTCCTCGCTCTGGTCCCCGACACTAGATGGCGCTAGTGCCAGGTACCTGACGTCAACTTAGGCGCGCAACACTACCCCCTCCTAAGACATGCTCGTCCCGAGCATTATCGGCCCTATAATAACGCGCCAGGCGATCCACATGGACGATCTTAGGAGTCCCTCTTGCGCCTTTCTGAAACGGCTCCGCAATGTCAAGGGCTGTCCTATCCCATGGTGCACCAACATTGTACAATTTCGATGCTCCTCTACTACGTGTCTGAGGTCCCTTCATAGCCGCACAACTTGTACATGTGCGACACCAATCCTCGACATCGTCACGATAATGGACCCAGTAAAACTGTTCTCGGATCTTCAGTAGAGTTCATTTAACTCCCAGATGGACTCCTAAACAACCATGGTATAGCTGTAGAAAATTCGGCACTTTAGCTTTAGGGACAACCATTTGCAAACGACAGCTGTCTCCTCCACCATTGTCCCATTTACGGCACAGGACTCCATCCTGAATCAGCAAGCTGTCCCATTGGGCCCAATAGCTTTTAGTGGTCGAACTCATCGCTGAGACGTCGCTCCACTTGAGCTTGGTAGCACGGGCCTTCATCCATTCCAGAATCGGCTTGATGTCCGGATCTTCCTGCTATGCATATTGTAAGCTGTCCTTCCACTCGTTGCTGAGGTGGTCTGTCCTGAGCATCTTCACGGATACCACTTCCTTACTCTCTTGCCTAGTACAGTGCTTGCAATCTTCATGACAAGTTCTCCTTGACAATGCATCTGCGTTGCCATGCGATTTCCCGCTGCGGTGTTCAATCACAAAGTCGTATTCCTGCTGCTGGGTGGTGCTGTTAGCCGCACAACCCTCTCGAGATCGATCACCTTCCCTTTTTACAGATCGCTTAGGGCAGCTGGATCGAAGATGGCCCCTTTCCCCACAGCCGTAGCACCTTGGGCTGTAATTTTTATTGTGGTCGCGAACCGTAACTGCTGCAACCTCCCTAACGTGAGGGGAACGATGATCCTGCCGCCGGCAGGCGGTGCCGTTAGCTGCACTACCTTCTGGAGATCGATCCCCTTCCCTTTCTACAGTTCGCTTAGGGCAGCTGGATTGAAGATGGCCCCTTTCCCCACAGTCATAGCACCTAGGGCTGTATCCATTATTGCGGTCAAGAACTGCTGTAGCTGCTGCAACCTCCCTGACACGATGGGAACGAAGATCCTGCCGCATGGCTTCCACCTCCAGTGCATGGGCCAAGGTTTTCGTGGTGCCCGAGCCTCACAGCAGCTCCGACTTCAAGGTCGCGGATGCCGTCGATGAATGTCTGCACCAGGTTCCCTTCAATGAGCGCAGGTACAGACTGATATGCTTTCCGATCCATCTTCTTCACCTCAAGGGTCCACTGCTGCAGGTTTTCGTTGCTGCGTTGCACGCGATCTCTAAACTGCGGACAAAAGACGTGTTCCAGATGACCGTCGTCATATCTCGCCTCCAATGACTCAAGGAGCTGCTTGTAGGTCACTTTCTTACCGAGAGCTTCCAACACAGTTAAGGTTTGGTCATGCAGGTCTAGGGTGAGTGCAGTCATGGCCTGGCTTTTATTCCAGCCGTTCGCCTCCATGACAGCCTCGAACTGGATTTTGTAGGCTGATCAGTAAGAAGTCCCGTCGAACGACGGCACTTTGAATCCACGTAGCGAAGGTGTTGTAGCTACTACGGGAGCTGTAGTTCCATCCCCAAGTTTGAGGACGTTCGGCGTTTTCTTCTAATCAGCCATCACGTTGTCAACCCGATTGTTCACATGGTTGATTCGGATTTCATGTCCCTCGATTCGGGTTTCAGCTTCCGACAGGCGGTTGTCATGTTGAGCAAACCTATCCTTCATCTCCCTTATGTCTTTCCCAAAGTTAGCGTGAAGGTCCTTCTTGTGGAGCATCTGCTATTCCGATCGACGAGCCTGTTCCGCCTGCTGATCTTCCAACCGACGGGGCTGTTCCTCCTGTCCGCGCTGCAGCTGCTCTTCCAACCGACGGACATGTTCCTCCCGCTGCTCTTTCAACTGACGGGCCTGTTCCTCTCGTCCACGCTGCAGCTGCTCCTCTAATCGGCGTGCCTGTTCCGCCTGCTGGCGCGCCTGTTCCTCCTGCTGCTCTTCCAACCAATGGGCCTATTACTCCTGTCGGCGGGCCTGTTTCTCCTGTCGGTAGGCCTCATCCTGCAGCATCATCATGAGAGCACCTAAGTCAGGTGCTGCAGGTGTAGGAGCTGCTGAAGAGCCAGCCTCCGTAGCTGGCAGTTGGCCCCCCGACGTCTGCGGCGTTGCACCACCAAATCTTCTCTGGTCCGTCTCCTGCAGGGTACGGACACCCTCCGTTTCCTCATTAGGTAAAATCGGCATTATTTTATCCCACTTCTGACACCAATTGTTACGAGCTTAGGGTTCGTGACAATAAAAACTGCCGATTGAATTACCAAAATTTACACTTTTATTACCGAACACCAATTAAAACTTAAAAGACACTAATAATTAATCACGCTGATTCACTTTATTTCGCTCCGAAGCTTCGCTTGTCTCGCCAAATTCAATACTGCCCCGATCGCGGGTTGCAGCGGCTTTAAATACACATTTTACACCGAAACATCCAGAATATTCAAGTAATTACGGGCGCCGACCGACCGTACGCAGAAAGTTCGAGTGTGGGGCTTCTAGAAAACTTATTTCTTCCGTTCGATACTAGATGGCGCTGTTGGTCGAAAGTTCAAGATTGACATGTTCTAGTAGCCCTTCTGCTCCGGTCCCCGACACTAGATGGCGCTAGTGCCAGGTACCGGACGTCAACTTAGGCGCGCAACAATATGTAAGCATGTTGTGTTCTAGCAATGCTACGTCATGCCACGTCACGCCATGAACGTGGAATATGCAACTTAGCAGTAAAATGACCGGACCCAAAAAACTTAAGACTTTGTAATGCAGCGTAATGATTAATTAATACTAATTACTTATATAGAAATAAGTCATTACAAATAGTTACATAATTAGTGAATATTCTACTACGATAATTCTCGTGTGCATCGACGCTGTGTCATTGAAGACTGCTGTTTGTTGACATCGTCCACCAATCCTCTTATTGTGACAATGATACCTTTGTCCCAATCATCGTCACGTAAATCTGCGAGAATCCGTAGTGAGAAAATGTGATGTCTCAAGTTATATAATACAGGCATCCCATTTATATAAGTGTATATAATCACTATGGCTAGCGCTAGGTCTTTTAGGGTGATAGAGAACTAGCGTTGTGTTAGGAGGTTCGGATGCTTAGATTACAGCTCTTTCTACCGTTGCCACACAGTCAGCTAGCTATTACAGGACGCGGCGATATTGCATTCCAAAAGACACCCAACGCCATACTAATACCATCATCATATTTAGCTGACATTTAGTCGTTGGAGAATTTCTTTTGATTATGAACGAGTAAAGTTAGTGCGTGATTTTCTTGCCCTCCGTAGCATTAAATCTACGTTTGGTCCTTCAAACATTTTTTTAAAGGTTTAAACAAGGAATACAAAAGAAGTGAATACATTATTTCTTTATAAATTATTTATTTGTCTTGTAACTATTTTACATGTTTGATATACAAATTTTGTTACAGTCATAAGATTTTATTTAAGGATCGTAAAGCGGTATCAGAGAATTATAAATTATTAATTTATTTTTTATTTTCTAAAGCTTGGAACCACGCTTGACAGGTGTCGGATGCGATCTCACACAACGCAGACATGGCTTTTCCAGTCGTGTCATTTTCTGAAAGAAAGCAAATAATAGTTATGTCGAGAAATAAATATTAGTACATTTTATTATGATTTTGGCGTGTTTATTTTGTATCTCCTTTTATTCCGTGTATGTTTTTAAGCTATTGCATAGCTTTTATCGCGGGCGTTGAGCGCGGCGACCGAATCAAGAAATTCCGTAACGAAAAAAACCTAAGACCCGAAAACCTAACATCGTCTAACGTCGTTTAAGTTCGGCAGACTTCGGCACGGTGTTTGTGTGCGTGCTACTAGACGTATGCGTGTAGACTAGTTGCATGATGCAACTAGTCTACACGCATACTACTTATATTTTATATACTTATATTTATACTTGCATGTATTGTACGATAACAAAAAATATTTTAAACAATAATATAGTTTATTGCAAGAAGTATATTCTTTGGATTTATATGAGTCGTCGTCATGCTAGCAATTTTCGTGAATTTAGAATATTCAATAAACACAGATTTTATAGAAAATTATCGTTTGTCGGAAGAACTCGTTAATTACCATAAACCTATAATTTCAATGATAAAAATTCCTGAATAACCTACATCTATTGTAAGATAATAAAAATATTTTAAACAACATTAACTTCTCATTTATTCAATAAAAGAAAAAATTGTTTTCTTATCGATCACCACACAAAATAGTGTAACTTGAATTAATATCAAAGAAAAAAACAAAGAAAAAAATACTGCATAAATAAAATAAATATATAATTATAATTGCATAAGTTGATAATAAATGCTATGAAATAGCTTTACCACGGCAGTCCCCGAGTGCCACACGTATTTTTTTTACATAAGTGTCTGAGATCTCATAGACCATACATACTGCAGCTCATAAAAACCAACTATTTGGTTTTAGATGCGGTGTAGGCCAAACAACGAAGGCTACAAGCTTTGTTGTGACATGGAAAATGTAAGCTGAAATACATCAGAGACTAAAAAAAAACGAGCGTGCTTATGATCACACGACTGAATTAAAACTTCTTCAGCTCCATCTATATGTAGTACCTGGATGACCGAGCTTTCCTCAGTATTTTTTTGAAAATCGTCTGTTTTGGAAATTACAAATTACATACTGATGAAATATGAATAATATTTTTGATCTTATTGACATAATAGAAAAACCTGAACTGGTGTTATTTGAATAAAAAACCATGAGTGCAATTAGTTTAATTTAAATTTTCGTATTTTTTAAAAAAATACTAAAAAAGGGCTAGAAATAATAGATTTTCTTAAAAAAAGAAGGGACCTTGAAAAAAAAAGGAAAAAATGTCGGACCGAAGACAAGACGCGAACCAGGGCACTATGATTTCGCGACTGCCCAATATCTCACTTGAGCTATATTCGATTTATTACCCATGAAACCCTCTGGACACTAAATTTTATGAAAATCGTTGGAGCCGTTTCCGAGATTTCGATTATATATATATATTATTATCTGCAAATATTTAAATTTATTATCGGCTTCCTTCCATAACTTGTTATTATTCACCCGAAAATTCACAAAATATAAACTTTAAAATGAATTTACAATTTTATTCACTTCAAACGTAGAATATTTAATATATTGAACAAAATATTAATTCATAAAATACGGAACGTAACTGGCTATGAGAGAAAGAAAATGTGCGCGCGCACTGCTCTCTCTTGCTTGTATCCCCCACTCAACTTCCGTTCGCGTCGCCCGATCACACTTTTCGTAACGCTTTCGTCACGCATTCGCCAGCTTACTCCCCAAATCGTGCGTAAAGATGTTTTACTTCAATAATAGTGTCCTTAAAGAAGTGAAGTGATAAACAAACTCACAGTTCATCTGATGATAAGTGGCTACTGTACTCTACGGACACCTGCAGCCAACTTCAAACAAGGAAGGCTACAGATACGTCACCTCTGAGGACCAAGATGGAATGCCTCAACACTTGTAATTATACTGGCTCTCTACACCCTTCAGACCGGAACACAGCAGTGCACGCACTGTTATTTGGCGGTAGAAATAGATAAGAGTGTGGTACCTACCTAAATGAACTCCTAGTCAGAAAACGACCCTTAATCACCTAGCAATTAGAACGACAATAGTGAATGTTCAACTGCTGCTTGGTTTTTTTATAGGATCGGGTGACAAACGAGCACACAGTCCACCTGATGGTAAGTGGTTGCTGTGGCCCATAGACATCTACATCTATTCTCGATTACGAATCAAAATGCAGATGCTTTGTCACCCCTGAGGACTAAGATGGAATGCCTCGATTCCAGTAAAAAGGGTCTACTTTCTCTATACTCACCATTAGAAACATAGCAGCGTTACGCTGCTATTTGCACGCTGGTTATTGTGTGAGAGCGTGGTCCTTCCCCGGTCGAGCCGACTCATTCGTGGTACAACTTTACTACTAATATAAATGCAACATGGCTCTACCACAGTACTGGTGGAAAATAGGTTAAAGGACTAGTACCCAATTCACACCCAGTACGGATCTCTAGGCACATAAAGAAGCACTATTGTCTAGTTTGACCACATGAAATAGAATTTATTAGTACTTTAAAGTATAGCCTTTTAATAAGTAATTATTATTAAAAAGAAAATTTAATTGTATTTTATGATTTAAAAAAATAAAAGGCTATTTTTATTTTATTAACTTTAATAAAACAACGGAAAATTCTTGCGATGTTGGGGCATAAATTAATAAAATATTTTATCATAGTATACATCAAATATGCCACGCTCTACACATTTTAGTATCCATTGCTATAAATTCGTCAGGCTTTAAGCCTTCTTCAGAACACAATTTGTGTATATCAGAATCGGAACGTGAGGGTGTGTTCCGTTTATTCGACGTTTTTGGTGGCGATTTAAACATAGTGAAAAAAGATCGTATGTCCACTTAATAAAACGGCGGTTAAAAAATGTAAAATCGGTAAAAATCTTCTATAATCTTAAAGTATTATATCACTCTATTTAGATTTTTAAAAAGTTACTTAGACTAAACCGTGGTATTATTTAAAAATGAATATAACAACAAAATGTATTTTTATACTTGTCCCTACCCTTTTTTATAGCATTAAGTGACAAACGAGCACACAGTCCACCTGATGGTAAGTGGTTGCTGTGGCCCATAGACATCCACATTTATCCTCAATTTAAAATCAAAATGCAAATACGCTGTCACCACCCGAGGACTAAGATGGAATGCCTCAATTCCAGTAAAAAGGGTATCCGATTCTCTACACTCACCATACGAATCACAGCAGCATTACGTTGCTATTTTTCCCTAGTATTCTGTGAGAACATGGTCCTTCTCCGGTCGAACCGCCCATTCGTACTACAACAATAATATAGCTGCAGCGTGGCTCTACCACGTAAAAGTCTTGACAAGTTTGTGCAGATTACCTTCATTTTTAGAACTTTTAAGCTAGCGTTCGTTATTTATTAACAAAGGTATTCAAAATAAATATTATTTGAGATTTTACTAAAATGTTACCCCCTTTAATACACTCCTGCATGAATAAGTTCTGTGCTACCATACTAAGCTCCGTTGTTTAACCTCAAAAACAAATATTGTAATTTAATACATTACCAATACTTCCACGTTTTCCAAAAATGGACCCATTGAATGGTGGTTTCCTATAGTTGGCTTCGTTTGGTGTGATCAGATAAATGATAACAATGATGAAACAAAAGGCAATGATTGCGCGCATCTTGATCCTGAAAGTTTTTTTACACTATTTTAATACGTAAACCAAGTAATGTAAAATGCTGCCTAACCGATAGAATTAAAAATATAACTGTATCATAAAATGCGAGTTTAACATTAATTTTACCTTTGATTATTCTGAATTTTTGATGAGAACACTAGAAGCTTCAAGATGAGTGTGATACCATGTCTTTTCTCCTCAAGCTTTTATAGAGCGACATGAGCGCCCATGTAACTAAGTTATCGTCTCTACGGAATTTCTGTTACAACATTTAATTTCAATAACATCGGAGTAAATTGTTATAAAAAATTATGTGTCCTGTTGCGTCGGGATTGAGATAATAATTTTCTGATTCAATAAATATTTTAAGATCAATGGTGTGTTCAATCACATCAATGTATCAGTTCACAATATTAGGTAACACACTTTGACGATAAATATTGTATATTGTAACAGAATATCATAATTGTCTATTATACGGAATACTGTCAATTATACGGAAAAACATCTTATTTAATACATTTACAACAGATCTCTAATTTACTGGCGCAACGTTCTGAGTCAATAATCATTTCTTTTATTTAAAGATAATTAAATTAAATAACCCTCGTGAGTATGGATGCTGTAAAGCACACGAAACACTGGGATTTAAAAATATGTGAAATAAGTTGAGTTTAACGCGATAAAAATAAAATTTATTATTATTATCACCATTACAGCCCTTCGTAAGCCCACTTCTGAACATAGGCCTCCCCCAAAGATGCCACAAAGCACGGTGCTGAGCTACCTGCCATCCATCGACTGAGAGGAAATAAAATTGGTTTAATTCATTGTCTCGTTTTCCTGTTAATAAAAGAAATCTTTACAATTAAATTATTGAGGTTTATATTTAAATTATTAAAAAAAGAATAGAGCAGACATTGACTGAACTAGTAGTAGGTACCAGTTACTCGGCTTCACCGAGTCAGTAATTCATTCTTGGGGCGATGTATACAAAATTTGACCTGCATAAAGTTCAAAACTTTATTAAACTAAGTTTGTATAAAAAGGATTAATATAATATTAAGGACTTTATGGCTGATAATAAACCCTGGGAAAGGTTATCGCTAACAAGTTATCAATTGTAACACACACGATTGTAAGATATTATTTTTTTAAAGTTCCGGTGGGTTTTTTGCTGGATCTTCCCAGGACAGAACTTTTTTCCGAACCAAAGGTAAATTATGACATAACATAAACACTCACGCCTATCACCCAGAGGGGTAGGCAGAGACTACAGACTTCCATTGGGCACGATCCTGACACACCTCTCTTGCCTCCTTCACATCCATACACCTACGCATACATGCTCGTCGGTTAAGGGTACTCCTAATTTGGCCCGTTTTCAATAAATCGCCAATTTGGTCGATAAATTTTCGCCTAGGACGTCCCTTTCCGACTCTGTCATTCACTTCTGCACCATAAATTTTCTTTGTCACTCTTTCCTCATTCATTCTTTCCACATGACCAAACCACCGAAGCATTCCTTTCTTAATCCTGGTCACAACATCATCTTGCAAACCACACTCTTCTCTTATTACACAATTTCTTACCCTGTCATTCAGATTCAGCCCTAACATACTCCTTAACGACCGCATTTATACTGCGTTTATTCTACTCTCGTGCTTCTTCTGCCACACCCAACTTTCACTACATACGTTAAAGTAGGGACCAACACAGCATTGTGAATTGCCATACGTGCCTTTTTCGACACATTTTGACTCTTCACAATAGAGTGCAAGGCCCCATTTACTCTATTTCCCGCATTCACTCGTCGTTCTATATCCTTATCATATCTCCCATCCCTGCTAAATACGCAGCCCAAATATACAAACTCATCTACTTGCTCGATCATTTCCCCTTCTATTCTTATTTCACAAATCGTTTTACTTTCTTCTCTTTCAAAAACCATAACCTTCGTCTTACTTGCGTTCACTTTCATACCCCTTTCTTTTAATGATCCGTTCATTAATGTAACCATCATTTGCAACTCGGCCGCCGATGACGCAAGAATAACTTGATAATCGGCGTACAAAAGGCATTTGACGGTTAACTCACCCATTCTTAATCCGCATTCTTCAACTTTCAAATTTTGCAAACAACTGTCCATAAATAGGTTGAACAGCCACGGGGAAGCCACACAGCCCTGTCTGACACCTTTATGGATGTCAAACCAGTCCGAGTAGACCCCGTTGATCCTAACACAAGCACTAGAGTCCCTATAAAGAGACTCCAATGCGTGTATCAAGCCAGCGCTCTCAATTAAAAAAGTGACTTTCAATAAGTAATATTTATAATCTATATTAAATAAAAAAAATCTGTTTCTAGCATCTTAATTTTATGTTTGTTAGCAATAATATCCTTTCCCATTATATTCTGAAATCATATGGGTGTCGTCAAAGGCGGCTATATGAAATAACAGAAAGATATGAAGGCTTCCGATAGATGGCGGTGACATCTCCTCATGTCAGACATAAAATACGCAGAACAGACAGACAGCACCGTCAAAGGTGCGACAAGTTTGCGATTCTTCCGCCAAGACTCTCAATCCTCTATAAAAAGAAGTAGGACCATGTCCAGCAGTGGTGATCAAAGAATTACGGGCTGCTGAAGAAGAAGTCTTTGCTTTGAGAATCCAAAGAAGGATTCTCACAGTAATAAAATACATAAACTCATATTGGTTACTTTAGTAATCCTTATATTATCATTCTTTTTGACAATGTAGGAAATTATTGTATAATATTAAAAAAAATTCTCTTTTTGGGAAGTAAACAGGCACTTAAACGATTTTTTTTGTAATCCTTAGTTTATATTGTGGTTTAAATCATAGATTTAGTGTTAACTGACGTAAGCTTTAACCGGATAATCTGATAATATTAGTGATCCGTATGAAAATTAGCTCCGATTACACCAAATAATCATCATGGTAAAGTTTTCTTTAAGAGCTTTAATTTTGTAATCTGAATTAACGACATAATAATACGTGGACCTAGATTTCTAACAACCACTGTCACTTAAGTAAAGGGGGATTTTAGGAAAATCTCTACTACTCTTTTACTAATAAATATAAAAAAGTTATATTTTTTATACGGAAGGGGGCAAGCGAGTATACGGTTCACCTGATGTTAAGAGGCCTTGAAGAAAATTTATTCGATAGAGTTTAGGCAATTTTGGCTAAAGACCGAGCGCAGTGCTCGCTTAAACAATTTTGATTCTTTAGTTGATAATTATTTTAGGATACATAGTAAGTACGGTTTAGAAATAAAAGTCTGGGATGTTTTTGTATAATAGTTTAGTATATTTATTACAATCAACATAAAATGAAAATAAAAAAGAAATGTGTTAGACAAATACACTATGCATATATATTTAAGTAATTCAATGTTTTCGTTCTGCGATGTCTACTAGAGAGTATCGAAAAATTTAACATGTCTTATTGGTATTTGCCCAAAAAACAAACATCGTGATTTCATTAAAACAAAGTTTTTGTAAATGTAAAACATTTAAATTTGAATATTAGGCCGTATATGAGAAACGGAATGTTAAAGGGATAAATAAAATACAGAGCACGAGTGCGTGACGTACACGTCAAGTAAATATTTTGATTTTAAAATTGATAATACTCATTTCTTTTATAATATTTACTCAATGTTTTGGATAGAAAGTACACATTTTGGCAAAAATAAGCCGAACATGCTAAAAGATACTTGTATTTTCGATAAAACATTCGGCCTATTTAGTTTAAATCTATGTCCAATATCGGTTAAAATAAAAATTAATTAAAATGTTGTGTCTCTCAGAATGGTATCAGAGATGGGTACTAATCATTAAAAAAACTATCAAAAATAAAATATCAATGAACATAGCAGACGTACTGAGACAGCAGCCGGGTCTAACTATTAGGTACTAAGAACCACCCAGGTGATCCCATACGAAGAAAAAAATCATCATAATTGGTATAGCCGTTTAGGATAAGAATTACGAACACGCACACCTGAACTTTTTGTATAAAGACTAGGCGTGCAACATATTATTATTCTTAATAAACAAACTATCCAAAAAAATACTTACCCTGATCAAAATTTGGTGGTCGGCGTACAATTTCTGGAAATGTTTACGTAAAACACGGGAGCGCCTGCGATGCGAAGTGATACGTCCTCGCTCTGGGAAGGCCCGGTCGTCACTGATTGGATCGATTTTTTTTTGCGCCCGAAGCAATTGGAAAGGGCTACCCTTTATGGAGAGAGGCGGAAAATGCATTACGCATACCACGATAGCCGGTCTATCGTGGTTATGAGAGACTCCCTGCCTACCGGGGACTAAGTGATACCCTCTAAAAACCACCTTTGGGTACTGGCAACTGGCTGTTTAAGCTTCTTATGCCGTATCGGAAGCGACCCTCTTTTGGGAAAAGAGGACGCAGGCGGCTACGAGCCGCTGAGGGGGTGCCTACGAAGGCAAATTAATTATGAATAATTTAATTTAATTAGAGTTTGCCTGAGCCGGCAGGAGGCAGTTCAGGTCGTTTGTCAGTTTATTAAGCGGGTCCGAGTGAGAGTTTCTCGGCATGCGGACTCGATAGTGAGAGGGGGGTGGCGCTGCATAAGTAGCTGCCTCACGAATAAGATGATCGGAGTGCGACTCTCAGTCTTTGAAGAAGTTCTCAGAGAGTTTTTTAAGTAATTGTTGAATTTTAGGGAACTCTAGGTCCCGATGAAGGTCGGCATTACGGACGTACCAAGGTGCGTTCGCAGCTCGACGACACAAAAGGTTTTGAAATATTTGGAGTTCATTAATAATTTTAGGGTCGGCGTGGGCAAAAATGGGGCCCGCGTGGGACTTGACTGGTCGTATACAGACCTTATAAAGGGTACGCTGGTTTCTGAGGGACATTTTACTGTATCGGCCCAACATACTGTTGAGCATACTCAGGTAAAAACGTGCGTGACTGGTTACTGTTTTGACGTGGGGCCTGAAAGTGAGCCTTGTGTCTAGAGTGACACCTAAATATTTGGCAGACGTATGCCAGGGTACAGGGGTCCCTAGCATACGTATTGGTGGAGTGTTTTTGGGACGCCGTCGTTTATAATCGAAGTGAACGGCGGAGCTCTTCTCCGGGTTCACATCGATG